ATATAAATTATAATTTAACATGCATTTAATAATCTAAATATATTTTTAACCTTATACAGTATGAACATAATTATTAAAAGCAGAACCGTGAAAACACCCATACCTGTTCCTTTATCTATCCATACATCCGTTACTGCATTTGATACTGGAGCTTCCACTAAATCTGTCCCTACATCTGTCACTGGAGCTGCCTCTGTTGATGAATGTAATGCTTCACGAGTAGCTTTACACTCAATATTTTTCTTATGATATTTATTATATTCATCATAAAATTTTCCCAATTCATTCTTAATACTCTCATTATTGTCCCATTTTTTACATTCTGTAAAAATTCTATCATACTCATTAAAGGTTCTAAGGAAGGAATTGCAATCCTCCTGGAGTTTTTCAAATTTCCCATGAATATCATATAGTTTCTCTAAATTTTGAAATGTAGTATATATGTCGTCATTGATATTATAATTATTAGCATATTCTAGGCATGTATCAGGTATATCTACTGTATAAGTTATTTTCGAATTCTTTTCTCTAATTTTTTTATAACAACTTTCAGTTTTTCCGCAAGAACCACCATATGATTTCACTAGGTCTTTCAACTTGTAAAAGAAATATTTACAACTTTGTTCTAGATGAATTTTTGTTTTTGATGTATTATTATCTATATAATTTAAATAAAAAAGGACATCTTTACATGATATATCAAAATTCATTTGCCGTCCCGTAGTATAATTTATATTCTTACGAAATTCATTACAGTACTTTGAATATTGAGTAAAATATGGCTCCTTCCTTTGATTCATGCCAAATCTATTAAAGTCATCTCTACATTTGGGTAATATATCCTTAAAACTAAACTAAAAAATGAACGTCAAAAATATATCAAATTTAAAATACATAATGAAAATTTTTCACGAATTTATGCGCTTTAAATTTATGTAATATAAATAATAATTCTACGAAAATGTGTAGACATGAATTGTTATTCACCTCAGAAGTTGCACTCATTATGTTTTATATGTGCTAATTAATATAAACAATTTTATACATATTATGGAAATGTTTATTCATTGAAAACATTGGGGATATATATTATATTGATATATCATATATTAATCCAAATAATTTATATGTTTTACAAAAAAAATTTTAACTATATTTTTATTTTGCTCCTATGATACATTAATTTATTGTTATACTTCTCGTTCTTGTTGACAGCTATATTTTTTCATGCAAATTGTTAGTATGGAAAATTAATTAGAAAACTAGCATGTATGTACTACTATAAAATAATAAACATTAGTCGTATATTATTTTAATGCATATAACACTATTATAATAAAATAGTAATTCCATTTAAGAAATTAAAAATAATGCATAGTTCTTTTATCAATAATATTAGAATAACACATATATATATATTTAATTTTCTTTTTTTTTTTTGGTACAATAAAAAAATGTTAACGTAAATTCCTTATGCTTTAAACAATAATGTTTCAGTTATTCTTTAATAATAGCTTTTATAAATACAATATTATGTCTAAACTTAAATTGCTTAAAATAGGCTTAAACATATTATTCAATATACACTAATAATATAATATTATATGTAGTTTTATTTGAGTATAAAACGTAATTTAATTTAATATGATAATTATATATGTTCATTTCACTATTCTTAATTAATTTATTTATTGTGCATAATTTATTTTATAATATAAGCATGTTTTATGATATAGGAGATAATATAATTACCACATAATTACATATGTTTTTGATACAAAAAATAGAATTACAATTAATTTATTATTAATATGAATCTTATTGAATTCCAAGTTCATATGATTTATTGTATACAATAATTAAAATTATAATAAAATGCGTATATAACTGCCATTATAAATTAATTTTAATATATAAAAAATTTATATATTCACTGTATATACAATTAATCACAATTAATTTAGTTTTTAATCGTTTTTTATTAATTATTTTATAATTTTTCCTTGCGAGCTTTAATAAATATCATTATTCATATACACTATGACAAAGTAAAATATTTGTATATCATATAAAAATATCAATTATAAATTCTTTTATACAAGTAAGAAAGAAGGATATATTAAAGATTTTATTATATCTTTGTGAATTCAATACATTGTGTATTATGTTTGATATTATATATTTTTTAATTTTCTTACCGCATACACACAATTCCATAAAAGCATAAGCAAATTATTCAACAACCAATTTGATTACATAAAAAATATCGTCACATCTGAGTTAACTTTAATTCATATTAAAATTGTTTTATAGAAATAACAGCTTCATTTATTATAATATGTTTTAAAACAAAGCTAAATTCCTATTTCACTAAAATTTGTGATAGCTTTGAAATGTTGACTTTACAAGTTTTATATGAATACTATCATCATAAAAAACCTTTGTCTTATAGAATGCAATATATGTATTGTTCATTGTAGTAAAAATGAGAATCTATATTCAACATTTCCTTCTTGTTAAAGAATTATTATATTTATAATAATTATATCATATTATGTAATTGTTTCTTGTTTTTTTATTATAGCACATAATTATTTTAATTCCTTATAATAATAACCACACAGGGGAACAAAATAATTTATTACTTTATATATTTGATTATGTAAAAAAACAAACAATATATACATAATATGCTTTTTTTTGGATAATAATATATTATGGTGTATTCTATTATATACATTTTCAAAAAATATATATAATATTATTTTGTTTCCAGATTAATGTTTATAAAGACTTATTTAAATATATGATACACTATAACTTCATTCCCAATGGTATTAATAAATAGAATAAGTTATATGTACGATAGAAAGAAGAAAATAATATATGAAATGTGATCATTTATTTTTTATTCATTTCTTCCTAATAAAAAGTATATTTTATTATGTATATTTTTCCGCCATGCGAATATAAATGTTAGAGAAATTTTTATATTAAATTATTGTACATATATATGGCGTCACAATAATGAGGCTTTATTATTTTATTAGAAACTCTATTTATAAATTACCATTTATGATTAATAAAAATATTATAATCTCATGAATAGAATTAAGACATGTTATTCCTTTCATCAGCTACATATTTTTATAGTACTATATTAACAAAAATATATAAATCAATAATAATGATATATTTCTTTTATCAATCTAATGGTTAAGTAAAATAATTACAGTATATTTTCATGGGTAGACAATAACACATAAATTATTTTATACAACGTATATGTAGAATAGAATTAGATTTAGTTCACGAATATAAGAATGTCAATGAAAATAATTTAAAAAATAAAAAAGGAATAAAAAACCTTATATATTTAAGTGAATATGCCCTATTCTTCGTGCTTATACCATGATATATTTATCTGGAACAATTTTTTTTTTATTTTAACAATGTTTTATTAAAAGCTATAATTACATACTTATTTCAAATATTTCAAGTACATATATTTTTCCATTATTTTAATTAAATTATTATTATATTTATAATTAGAACGTTAGTGTTACAAGTATATACGAAAAATGTTATACATATTATTTATACATTGTATAAAATGTGGTTTCCATGTATACTTATATATGAAATTCCCATAATAATGTATTTCACCCTTATGATAGATATATTAATGAAAAAAAAATGTGCGCTTTAATTTTTCTTGTGCTTAATATTATATTCTTCTAAGTACTAGAAATTTCTTTGTAGCTATAAAACCATATCATTTTCAAGGAAATTTTATACCTTTTATTTTTTTTATCATTCAGTATATACAGTGAACGTAAAAAAGTATGAACAATTTATATAGGATTATTTTTACATTAAAAACACAGAAATGTATTATTTTAATATCATCTGATCTAACATTGTTACACGGATGGAGAATATTAATTTATAGATTATGCAATTGTATATACCTTATACGATAGATAACATCTATAGAAAGAACATCATGATGTATAGAATCATGCATATCATTTTGATTTCATTTACATTCATTTTTTTTCATGGATGAAATAATGAATTAGGATTAATCATTTGGTGAAGTGAATCCTACTGCATCATACTTAAATACTACATTTTTTTGAGCTTTTTTACTATTTTCTCTATGTTAATTTCAATTACTCAATTATTTTTTATAAGTTGAAGTTATATTAATAATTGCATGAATTCATTTTTCTGCTATTCTTTCATAAAAGATTTTTCGAAGTTTCTTAAAATGCATAGTTGGTATAATTATATGCTCTATGTATATTTATATGAATTTTGCTTCTATAATTCAGATTAATAATAATGTTATAAGAATTAACATTTTTTGTATTGTTTTGTTTTCTTATAATATAATAATTATACTTTATTATATTATTTTTTTTTTATCATATGGTTATGTAGTATAATATGTATAATATTTTCCATAGCAACATTATAAAAGTTTATAGAGTTTTGAGCTTTCTTTATATTTCTAATATTATGTTATCATTCAATGAAATTAATTATACTTAGTTGTATGTACTGGATATTATATTTATGAACTCATTAAAACATTACACATACAAAACGCATAATATGATTCAATATATATTGTTTGAATTTTAATTATACACTCAAATTATTTGGTTTTTTATACAAGTTCAAAAAAATTAATTTTTTGTTATTTTGCATAATCAGAAAAAAAATAAGTTCTATAAGCGATTTTCTTTATATTCATGCATTGGACATTTATACAATGTTCTGTTAAATATATCAATGCATTATTAATAGCATGAATATATAACTAGATAAGCAAATACATAAAAGTATGAACAATGAAATAATAATAAATATAACATATAATTATATTTGCATAAATTCATTTTATATTTTTATTTCTTTATATTTTGAAAAAAGGGAATTAAGAGTGTGATAATAATAACATAAATATGGTTACTTTTCTGTATGGATATATTTATTATCTATTTATCATTAATTGGAAAATATAAATATTTGTAATAATTCAAAATGTTTACAATATAATTTGATATATTATTTGTGTGATTATAATACTTTAACAATAATTTTTTGAAGTATCCAAAGGATATATATATTAATGAATGAACGTGGTTCCATTTAATATTTAATTTAATAATAAAAAGCTCTAACATTAAATTGTGTATATTTACCTATGATATTTTTCACTCTTGTTACATTATAAAACTTGTTGATGCTTATCGTATGATTTGTTTAGTTTTGAACAAATGTTTTATTTATGATATTATTATCTCCTATAAATTTATTTGAAAAAATAATGATAAAGAAGAGATCTACCTGTATAATTTTTTTTCCATTTACAAAAAATTTCATTTGTAACTAAGCATTCAATAAAGTATTTATTTATCTCATACATCGTTATATCGTTTTATGATTTTATTGTATACAAAATAGTTATGTATGACTTATATTTAATAAAAGTTTATAAATAAATACACTAAAATTAATAGCTAATTTGTATTGGTATATATATAAATGGTATTATATTTTTCTCAAAAAAAAAAATATTCATATATACGTTTTCTAAAAAATATTGTGAAATAAAGCATAAAAAATTAGGATTTTATTTATGTACCATTTATCTTATAAATGTATGAAATAAATTAAAGGATATTATATAATGGTAAATTATGAAAAAAACATTCTAGACATATATGTATGAATAGTACTCTTTTACCAATAGACATTTATTTATTTTTATTGTCGTATAAGAATAATAAAAAAAATTAAAAATATAAATATTTTAAGTAAAATATTCAAAGGACAATAAATGCATTATTAATCACATTTATTAAAATAAAATAATGATGAAAATATGATAAAACGACTACATCATTACTTATATTTATACATGTGTTGAAATATATAAGATTATAATTGAAAAACAAAAAAGGCACTTACTTTTATTGAAAATATATATAATTAAAAATATTAACTGAAATTAATAAGTAACAAAAAAAATATATAATAAATATTACAAATACTTTACGTAAATATAAAATAAAAATACAATAATTAATACTGTATGCAAAGAAGAATTAATATAAACTGTTAGTACATGTTTCAAATGAATTTGAGTATAAGGAAGATAATAACAAAAATATTAAATGTAATAACAATATAACTTATAATTTTGGGATTAATATAATATTCAATAAATTAATAAAGGTAAATTAAATTTTATAATAACAAAATTTGCATTTTAATTAGAATAAGTTTATAAGTTTATTATATATTTATCAATATAAATTAAATAATATAATTATGCATTCATAGCAATAAAAAAATGAACATATGCTTATTATTTAAAAAATATTATTATGAAAATAATATATTTTAAAATATTATTTATAATACATATACATCAATATATAATCTATAATAATTTTCATATAATGTAAAACATATATAATAAAAAAAGAATCCAAAAAATTAAAATCATGAATTCTGAAATCTAATGTATTATCGATGTTTTTATTGTTATATTTTATCAAAAAATGTTATTGTTCTTATTATCTAATTATTATACTTATGATTTTCATTTATTTATTAAATTAAATAAAAATAAATACTAGACACCTCAAATAGTACCATATTATAATTACAATAAGGATTAATGATTATTTTATCCCAATTAATTTATCAATAATTTTCATAATATTAATAAAGTATAAATAATATATTCCAATATCATGTGTAATTCTTTTTAATGTTTTGAATATATGTGTTAGTTTTCTAAAAATATTTTATAAAATTATTCCGAAAAATTATATAATAATATTTAAGATGTATAAATCGCGTGTACGATAGAATTATTATAACATCAGTTACATATAATAATAAACGTATACACTATTTTTTATTATATTTATATAAATTTTTTCATAAGTATATGATTCTTGTAATACTATTACTTTTTTTATATTTTTTAGTATGAATCAGCATATTCCTTATTTCCTCAATGTGAAAAAGTAATGCAGCAAGAAAATAGTTCTGTTAGAAATAAGTGGAATGAATACTGTGACCCAATTAAAGAACTATATTCAGATATAATTGATTCTAATGATTCAAATATATGCTATGAATCTATAGAATTTTTATTTTCAATATTTATTTTGGAAGAAAATTCATCGTTGAAAAATGTTGCAGTACAATACTTGTATTATTGGATAAATCAGAAAAAACAGACTAACGGAGAGCATAATACAAGAATTAATGAATTTTATGAGGAATTGATTAGTAAAGCTAAGGAAAATATATTTAATTCACCGCCTTTAAGTAATTACCTAGAATATAATATGGTTGATTTAGAAATAATCAATGATTTATATATTATTAAAACATTAATTGATAACATAATTTCTGATAGCACAAATTATAATTCCAATAAGGAAGAGAGTGCAAAAGAATGTGAAGAAAGATATAAACGTCTCCATAATATATGCACAAACAAGTATAAGCTTGATTTATGTGATGAATTAAAAAATATTAGAAAAGAACTTCATGATCATAATATTATTAATAAATATCATATAAGTATACCCGATATGTTATCTTATTTCGAAAGACAGAACATAGTAGTTACTATTTTAATTCCTATTATTATAACATTATTAGCATCATTTGTTTTATTTTATATACATAAGGTAAATAATAAAAAATATATTTATACAATAAAATAATTCTTAGAAGGGAAAAGAAATATATATATATTCATATAAAATTATATTTTTTATTTATTTTTTATTATTAGTTCACACCATATGGCTCTAACATTCAATATTCTGTAAAAAGAGTAAAAAATATATTTAAAAATACAGATAAAGAATTGGATACAAAGTATTCATATGATAAGTATGACAATAACTCATGGAATAAGGGATATAATGTGTTATATAATTCCGCTTAGCTGTAGCATTAAATATATAATTATAAAAATATATTAAACTTAAATAGTATATAAAATGAAGGAATTAAATATCTTCAGATTGATTCTATTAGTGTTTTTATATCAAAATATAATATGGAATATAATACTATAAAAAAGATATGGATTATTTGGTAAATATAATATAACAGTTATTCAATAAGAAGAATACCGAATGATATAATTCATCCGTTCTTGATGAATGAAATAATATAGAACTTATATGTTTATGAAATTTACCTTTTTTATATACTGCAGCTTGTATGAATATAATTTTTTCTTTTTATTAAGTAATATCGCATAAATATAATAATTTAGCACAAATTAAATAAAACATATATATATATTCCGGTATTCTTCTATATAATAGTACATACAAATCAGTATGCAATTCTAAAATAAAAATGATGAAAATTGATTTATAGTTAAAAAATTTTTTATAATATACATATTGTATTTTTTCACAGATTATAAAATGTTTTAAAAAATTTATAACATTAATGTGTAAAATTCTATAAGATACATGTTTTTTAAGGTAAATATTATGGCATGAATAATAATATGTTATTTAATGCTATATTTTTTTTATTTAATTTAATATACTATTTTATATTACAATACAAATATTTTTTTTTTTTTATATCATTAATATCGAAAATTTTCACAACCTACATAATAGTAATTACGCGAATCCCTTATGTACATTCATTTAATGCAAATGAAATTTAATTTTTTTTTACTACAAGGAAATTCATTTTTTTATATTTTATATATAACACAAGTGAATTTCATTAACTATATCTAATTACAAAATATTTTTATATTTACAAATAATATTATGCAATGAGCTATCAATAAGTAATAATACACAAAAGTCATTACATATATTGTATACATCATTATAAGAAAAAGTGAAAAACTTAAAATCTCTTACACATAATAAATTAGAATAAACAATATTTACACACGTATAAAAAAAATTATAAAATTGATCATAAAATTAAAATATTAACATCTATTTAAAGTGATATATATAGAAAAAAAATATATATTTCTCTCAAAATATTAATAATGAAAACTGGTTATCATATAATATGTAAATATAACTTCATATAATTTTTATAGTTATAAAGTTAAGTTATACAATAAATATAAAATTCATCATAATAGATTGTTATACACATATTTCATAAAACATTCATTCTATCATTTACCTTTACTCACGAAATACTTCATTCTATGCATTCAAGATATATGTAGTAATATATATAATTAAATCGAATATATTTATAGTAAATAAATGTATAAAAATCACATTTCATGAAAAATTATTCATACTCATTTAATAAAACGATTCTTATATATTTTTATATTATTTATTAAATACATATAAATAATGTTAATTACTATATAAATAATTATATACATAGATAGTAAGAATGTATATATACTGAAAGAATATTTCTATTCTGATCAAACAATATGTTAAATTTGTATAACGAAAAATTATATTAGAAAAATAAGTATTCTGAGTATATATAATCTTGCTTTTATGTTGTATATTATAATATATAGGAATAAAGAAGTGTGTGAATTAAAAAATTTGTTATGTATTCTAATGCATAAGTAATAAATGTTTTTATTTAATACATATTATCTATTTCAAGGAAAATGCAATATCATAGTTCTATCAGATATCCATATTTATGCTAAGAATGATACTGAACGTGTTAATTCATATATAATCTATATATTTCATTATATATAAAAACTTCAGCTTGTGTATTTTTATAATTTTATATCATAACACTTTCAAACATTCTTCTTTATATATATAATTTTTTAAATGTATAATAACATATATTGTAATAAATATTATTTTTATTTATCGAAATTTTATAATCAAAGTTTAAACTCAAGGTTATTACTTCTTTTTAAAAGCACAGGCATTAAATTGCATTAGTATACTATGTTATATTTAATACAAAGAATTATACATCATATGAGTACGAATGCCTAAATTAAATATGTGTTAAAGCATATAATAAAAATACTATTCTTTAAAATATACTATCTTCATAAAAAGAAATGATTTTCAACGATTTTTTACTATTTTCTATATTACATATTCACTTATGTAATATATATATAATTTATACAAAATAACATTAACAGAAATATTACGAAACGATCATGCATTAATGTGCTTAATATTTCATGTATATATATGAAATAATATTCATTTGATAATAATAATTTAACGCATATTTAATATTATATATACATTTATGTAATGTTTTATCTTGTATACGGACTTTTTCCCTAGTAGTATTCTTCAAGTATAATTCTAATTAATATAATCGCAATAAATAAATAAACTATAAAAATTTAAGACCTGAATTATTTTTCACTGATTATAAAAAATAAAAACAGAGTAGTTTATTATATTTAAAAGTAAAACATTACTATATTTCTTTTATTACATATTAAATATTTATATATAATAGTATCTAAAAAAATATAGATTATCGGGCATATAATGATTGACAAGGAATAATGTGAATTAGATAAAAAATTTTGTTATATTAAATTTACCTGTGAAGAGATGAATGATTGTGTGCATTCGACAAAATTTATCTATTACAATGGAATCAGCATATACATAATATATACATTATTTGTAACTAATAATAATTTAATATTAAAATCTTTAAACTATAGATTATATAAATAGATTAAAATATTAGTTAATTCGTTGATGTTATGAAAAAAATTAATAAAAAGTGTAATTTTTATAATAGCAAATAATTCCACGAATCATAATGGATTTATTACAGCAAAACAACTACAAAATATAGAATCATAAACATGAATCCAGAAACATATTTTTGAAATAACATAAATTTTTAAAAGAAATAATATAAGTAGAAAATATGATGCATTAATTTCATAGATGTATATTTACATAGAAATACATAAATTCGGCATGAATAGGCCATTCCTACATAATCCACTATACTTAATGTATATATATTTAACATAATAATAATAAAACATAATTATATATTTAATACATAACTACATTACAGTTTTGTTTATATTTAATGAAAGACATGAAAAAAAAAAAATTGCACATAATGTACAAAAATATAAATATATATCATGAAAATTAATTTAGATCAAATAGATGAGCCCTTTACATTTTATATATGATAATAAATAAATAAAATAATTTTACAAATTCTGTGCAAATATAAAATTACTTTTCACAAACATAAAAATAATTATATAATTTTTAATTCTATATCATAAAACATAAAATAAAAAGCTGAATCATAATCCATTTAAATATTTTAACATTAAATTGACATATTAATAACTATTATTAATTTATATAATCTATGAATTATTTTATTTTTACTCGATCTCATTGATAAATGAATTTTTAAAATAATTTGTTTACTTTATTCTACATGAATTTTAAAGAAATTAATTTAATGAAATACATATTTAATCGTCAAATTAAAGGGAACTGTATAAAACATCATAACTATTATTCCAATAAGCACTATCAGATATTTCTGAGTTTTGCGATTTATTCCATACTTCGTTCAGATCACGACACTTATTGACTATCTTTTTTATTCCACAATGCAAGCTGGAATTATATGGTGTGAACTAATTATTAATATAAAAAATATTACGTATGAAAAATATATTAATATTATAATTTTTTTTTCTTAAACATTTAAAACTATTATTTAATTTTATAAATGTAAATGTCAAAATCACATTTAACCTTATAAATTACAAATAATAATAATGGTATTATTAATATTAGAATAGTTAATATTATAGAAAATTTGGATTTATTAGTTTTGGGGGAAGGTGACTCTATGTTCTCGGTATTATAACAAGGTAATTTTTTGCATTTTGCATGAACGCAACCATTTGAATTCTGTAAATCATTATATAAATTTTTAATATTTTCTAATGCATCACAAAAAGAGCTATAATTATATGGTGTACACTCTTTAGAGTAGTGTTTATACATATCTGAGCACTCATTAAAACGGTGACACTTATTTTCTTCAGAGAGATATTTGTTTTTTTTTATATCATAAAGCTTACTATTCATTTCATGTAAATCATCCAATAAATTCAATTCTTCATCTAAAATAGAAATATACCAATAGTCTTTGCATACATATTTACTATTACCACCTATATTATTAAAAAATTCTAAATAAACTGACTTCGTATGGTCTCTTGTATTATTAGCCTTCAATTGTTTGTACAACCAATAATAAAGGTAAAGGCAGCGAGCTCTTGTATCGTGGTTATAAGGATTACCAATTATTTTAGATGCAAAAAACAAGCCTGCATTACATGTATCTTCATTGAATTTATTACCATAAAATTTTCTTGCTCCAATACTCCCTAATTTGCAAGGATCACCATGAAGGCTCAATTTTTCCTTATTATTTTTAATAAATTCACTAAACTCAGGAAATTTTTCTGTATAAACGTACTAAGACCATAATGATAAATGCATAACAATCATAATATTCTGTTGGAATGTTTTCAAAATACATAAGAAAAATATAATATATTTGCATTACAACAATAAAACATATATATTAATAGTATCATACTTCAACTAACACCATCTCAGAAAATATAATGTAATTATGAAAATTAGATAAGGATAATTATTAAATTTATGAGCATATATATATATTTAAAAAAAAAAAGTATATCATGTGGTAACATACAATTTAATTTTTAAAAATTATAGAATTTATGAAAAATTGTTATATTATTTCTCTAAATTACTAATAAGTATGGTAGTATAAATACAGTAGAAAATACAATTCAGATATAATGTATTTTATTAAATATTAATAAGGCGAGTGATAAAATATATATACATTATTTACAAAAAGTGCTATATAGATTTAAAAAGTATAATATAAAAATTTTCAAAATATAAAAAAATTATAAAGAATTGCTAATCCTCGATAAAAAATATATTTATATATTAGAATTTCCGAAGTTATATATATATTATTTAACGCATAAGTTTTTATTTTAGTATAAGATATAATTTATATTGAAAAAACATATATTTAAGGGCAGGATCAATAAATAAAATGAATGATTATTTGTAATATTCGTTTGAAGGCTTAATAATATTTTGTTTCATATAATTATTTTTTCTAATATTATTGAATACTAAAATAATAATATAAGGCATATAAAGTTTTTACATCTATATTTTAAGTAATGTTTTTTAATTATTACATTATAACTAAGAGTACTATATTTTATTAAGATTTTTATTTATGTTATTCAAATTAGTTTCTATATATTATGTAGAAAAATTATTTCATTATATGCCTTTGTAATACTTCATCTTTAATTTTTCTTACACTTTATTTTATATGTTAAAAGTATTATATTTCTATTAATATATAATTTTAAGTTTTAAATAATTTTTCTATAAAACAAAATTTTAATCTTTTATAATATAAATAACATAACATATTTGAAATATTTTCTTTGGTGTTTGGGATTATTAATAAATAAAATGCACCTTACAGATTTCTTATAAATAAAATTTCTCTTTTTTATTATTTCCTTTAGAAATATTTATTCCCACCATCCCAAGTTTAATATAATGCGTAGGAAATAAAATACCATATATAATATATAATCAATATTTAATATGATATAGGTAGTTTATATATATATTTATAGGCATATTACAATCACACAACTCTTTTAGGCATAATATGATTTATTTATTAAAACAAAAAATTCATTATATATAATATAAATATTTCACACTATAAAACTAAATCATAAATATATTACATACATTATTTTTTTAAATTATTTTATTAGAGAATAATTTCATTATATGTAAATTATAAAACAAGAAATAATATTTTTGTACATCATATTTATGTTATTATGTAAATTCCACAAAACATATAACTTTTTATAAACTTTTTTAGTGTAAGCTATATGTTTTATATCATTAATTAAGATAGATATATATATTTATTCCTCATGAGACATACTACTGTTATGAAATAGCTCAATCTAAACAAAAATAATATATTATATATCCCATTGCTACAATAGTTAAAAAGGTTGTTATAAGGCATAAATATATTTACAGTGAAGGATTATATGTTTTATATATAAAAGAATATGTATATATTATATTAGGAAATAAAAATATACATTTATTATCCTTAATAATTAAATAATAATGACTCCACAAAATGTAATCATTTTGGGGATATGATACATAATATAGTTATATTTATTAAAATAGATAAAATAAAAAATGAATTAGGAAGAATTATTAAAAATTATAATTAAATTATACATGATTATTTTAATATATCAAGATGTGTTAAATTATCAAAAGATAAAATAATTTTCTAAGCTACATAAATGGTTAATATATGCTTTGATGCAATTCTGTATAGGGTATTTTATTTAATTATATAATTAAAACCGTTTAAATTATATTCAAATTTTTGTGTATAACTTACTGAGGTTAATATCATATAGATAACAAACTAATAGAATTTGCTTATTCATTTAAATACAAATTTAAATTAACATAAATATTATTTACATAATCTTCGATGAAATGCTCCTTAAATGTGACAAAATATTCTTTTACTTATTTTATAACATTTCTTCATATATATGAAAATACAGAAATGTGATTAAATATTCTGGAAAACAAATAATTATATAATTAATGATGAAATTATACGAAGGATGTTACGTTATTACATATTATAATTCATATAAAATGTTATATTATTAATTTAAAAATAATTTTTTTACCAATAACAAAGTAGCGTCAATAAAAATAATATGATGAATATTGTATGTATATGCTTTGAATATAATAAATATAATTACTATTATTTTGATATATTACTTTCTAAACTTTTTTTTATTATTCTACATTTTTTATAATTATATTTATTTCTCTTTTAAATATATGTATCTTAATTTCTTTACTTATCATGTATATATAATTATATTATATTATATATATATATATACAACTATTTTCATAATATATTTTATTCCGTATGAATGAATTTACCCTTAATTTATTCTTAATTATTGTAATTACGAATGAATTCATATGTATGTTGAGATATATTATTATGTTCATCGTTGTAAATGGAATACATTAAAATATACTATGTTTTGTAATACTATATAAATAATTATAATATAGTGATTCTTTTAATTATGTGCTATTTATCCATTAAAAAGATATATGAAAAATTCCAATATAAATATTTTATTTATTTTTTTTAATGATGTAACAAAACTTGAAATTTTAGTATATAAATTATAGTATATTAGGTATATTAATTTCTCAAGACATGTATGTGAACTATATAGTACAGAAAAAATCAGTGTGTAATATCACAAGTTTTTAATGTAAAAGTCATCTGGAAACACAAGATTTAAACGATATTATCTTATATGAAGTATTCCTCATATTAATAAAATAACCTAAAATTAAGACACAGACTTATTTAATTAAATATATATACTTGAAACTTATAGAGGACATATTTATATGAAAAATTTACATATGGTGTAACAGCAATTTTTAAGGTATACATAGATTTGGAAAAATACAATATATATATTCAAATAAGAATCTATTAATATTCAATTATATATACATATAATATATACTAAATAATGTTTTTTATCATATATTCAAGATTATATATATATATTATACGGAAATTAGTACTATATATTAATATTATTAAATATATGATACAATAAAAATATATATAAAGGCCTTTGGATTTTTTATATAGCTTTTTATATGTGTACATGCTTTAAGGTTAATTAATATTAGAGTTTATTTATATTAAAATATTTCATACCAATAATTTTGGTAATTTTATATAACCATGAAGGGGGATAATGTAGAAATGGATGGGAACAAATAAATAAAATTTACATTTTTTGTAGAATAACATATAAAATAAAAACTTCCTTTGTTTCATATTACCTGTGTTCATATAATATGTTTAATTCTATAATAATTATAATCCTCGAATATTTTTTTGACTATTATTATTTTCTTCCACATTCTTATGCATAATATAAAGTATATTGAATTTTTTATTTAAAAAATGAAAAAAGATTTTGGATAATATCTATATTTATGATGAACAATACTACATATTGAACACTTATTTTTCTAACGTACATGTACATTCTCATAAAAATTTAAGAGGTTCTCTTATTTTATTCTTAAATAATTCGTTTTTTGTTATAATCTTATTTCTTAACATAGAAACTATAATTAATTAATGATGTTTTGTTTTTATCAATATTAATTTTACATCTAGATAACAAAGAATAGTCCATTTGGTATAAATTCAGACTATTATTTTACAGAATCACACAATACATTTTAATGCTATACATAAAATAAGCTCATATATTATCATATGCATAAGCATATATATAATTATGAAGAAAATATTATGTATTACGTTGAATAAAAAAATAAAAAAAATATTTGCATAAATAATAATAATTTCATTTATATTTATTAGTATTTATATATTTTACAGTTCTATTGTATTAAAAATTTCGACATATTTATTAATATTATTTAAATACTAATTTGCATGGTACAATACACATTTACAAGTGTGATAATTTTTTAATAATATTATATGTTTATATGAATAAATAAAAATGACTTATGCAAAACACGAATTATGTACTCCTTTCTTAAATATGTCTTGTAAAAAAAATATATTAATAAAAATATTCATTATATTGTAATTATAATTCCTTCATTTTATATCATAAAATTAATATAAGAAGTGTGTATAAAATTTAATATACTATTAATGTCTATATTTATATTATTTTGTTTTTAATTCTTTAACAAAATTAATGTACTACATTTAAATAACATTATTTAAATACACATATGCGGTTATCTCACAAAAATATAAAAAAAAAAAACAAAAAAACAAATTGTATTTACACTCTGAATAAATAAAAGATATATATTTTCATTCAACCTGATACTATATTAATTACTAATTCTATTAATAGATTAGATATTTTATCATTTTGTGTTCCTATGTGTCCAGTTACATAGATAATTAAGATGTTACACGAAAAATATGAATTTAATTATTTACATTATTATTAAATTAAATAATTTAATCACTTTTTTCTATGTCTCAGCATAAATAACATAGTAATTATTATGGGTTCTTTTACGACCCAAATTTATTCAAGAAAAATTACACAAAAATCCTTCCATCTTTAATAGAGTTTTTCAGATACACATAAATTAATATGTAAGCGTAAAAAAAAAAAAAATATATGTAGAAGGGTTATTAAAAATAATATAATCAAATGAATATAATAATGTAATTCATAGTTTTATCTAAAATATAATAAAAAAAATAATAATGGCTTATAATTAACCTATAGAATAATAGGTATTTATTAAACATATAACAAAATACTCACGACGTTTGAAAAAATATTTGATAAAGAAGAAATAATTAAAATCAAATATATTTATTAAACAGAAAAAATATTATATATGAAAAATTTAAAAAAAAATATATAGTAAATAAAGTTTATTGATACTTATTATATAAACTCATTCTATTTTAAGTCATATTTATAAGCGTAACTATAATGCTGCTCCTGAATGTATAAATTTTATAAAATTATATCAGAAAAATTTTATAAAAATATTAAATTTGTTTCACATTAAAAAAGAAATTTTATATATATTATATTTAATTAATGTGCTTGCAATAATTTTTAATTCAAAATATTTTTTACTTTAATTTGCTGCTCAACAGTTCAAAATATAACTAATTATTTATTTAAAGCCAAAGAGTACTTATAATATGAATATGAACACTGATATATCTTGATACATACATACATTCCTATTGTATGAGTAATTATTGAATAATAAATAATTGACAAAAAAAAGATAGGTAATATTTTACATGTTATGATATAATCATTTCATAACTATATATTGAATATGTAAACATTATGCAATAAATAATATATATTTATGAAATATTTTTAAACTTTATTATAATTATATAATTTAAAATAATATATTTTTATGGGGTCATCTTATTAATGTATGTAATAATACATTAAGATTGTATCTATTAATTGATGTTTTTATTTATATTTATAATAAATGTGACATATTCACTTTTTGCTTTATTTAGTTGTATATTTTTTTTATTGTATATTATTAAAATATTTAACATATAATAAGTAGACCTACTTCAATTAACATTGTAGTATTATCTTCTTTCTTATATTCAATCAGTTTTTTTATGTATAATTATCATACAATAAATTCTTAATTATAACAATATATGATTGTATATTATTTATTATATTTATTGTTTAAGATATATTTTTCAAAATATTGTCATAATAAAGCCTCATTTTAGCATAGATCCTTTGTTTAATATAATATATTATATTACATTTCATCAGAATACGTAATAAAATACATTTACTTCATTTTTTATATAATACTAAATTATATTTTTTGCTTTCATTATATGTAGTAAAAAAAAATTTCATTAATACATGTTATTTTGTATATATATTTCAATTTATATTGCAAATAATATAATGCATTGCTTAAAATCCTACTATTTTAGTATATTTATAAACTTAAAAAATATAATTATAAAAATAATTTATTTTACAGTACGCTAAATTTATGAGGAACTTTTATTTAGTAAATATTTTTTGGGAAAAGTATATATCAAACACAATTTACATTATAAATAGCATATCACGTGTATAAGAAGGCATTACATATGAAAATAATTATTATAGATTTACGTTTTATCATATTTTTTCAATATTCTCCATAATGTAAATTAGTATCACAAGGTTCTAATTTTGCAATATATATTATTCATTATATTAATGTGATTTCCAATGCGATATATATTGTACACTATAAATGAATTTTATGACTGAGATTTAATAAATGCATTGCAAAAAATAAAAAAAATAAAAGTATAAACTGCTTTCCTTATTTTAGCATGCACAAGAGTCATTAAATATGTTCATTTCAATATATTTTTAGAATTAATAAAAGGGAATAGATATTGAAAGAGTTAAATTATATTAAATATAAAAATTTCCATTTATTATATAAAATAATCATAATTTTAATTATTAATATGCAATAAAGATGTAAAAAAATATATAACTCAGTAAAAAGTAACTAATTATGAATTACAGCTTATTATAATAAGAAAATATTGTGCTTTATATATAATAAGATTTTTTATTATAAAGCTGTTCTTTTATTTTATTTATAAAAAATGAAAAGACAAGTATTGTAACAAGTGCAAAAAATAATATGTAGAGGTTACAATAACATTTTACATAATGTATTTTTATACATCTTTTAGAAATTTTACCTTAATAATATTGTAATAATAGCACAATATAAAATAAAAATAAGATAAATACATGCATATGTTAAATAAACATAAAAGCATATATATCAATATATAAAATTATATTATTAATCTATTCAGTAAAATAAAGAATTTATAAATATTCTTCTATAATACGATTAATATATATTCTTAAATATATGTGTGATAGAATAAAAAAATAGCTTCATATTATTGTATTAAGAGTATATAAATATTCAAAAATATAATGATATGATAATTCATTAATCCTACAATACTTTAATGTTAAAGAAAATGTTAAATACCATATATAAATAGTCAAACTTGATTCCCATGAAGAGGACAAAAATTTTTGATATCTAAGGTTTAATACTGAATACTAAATATGAATCTCTGAACAATTCATAGATTAAATGAGTTCATTATATTTTAACAGAAATATATAACCAAAAATATTCTTAATTTTATTAAATATTAATATTATAAGAACATAAATATAATTATATATTTAAAAATATATATATATAAAGTAAAATGCATAATTAATATAGGCAGTTCACGCTAACTTGTATATCTGTATTATTTCGATGTATTCATATATCATGCATTGTATTAATATATAGTATGCTAATATATTTTATAATAAATTATATTAACTAATAATCTAACATTAATAATTATAGAATAATTAATTATGGCGAATGATATTTTACTGGGAATAATTAAGCAATGCGTAAATTAGAATATCTTATATGTTTACGTTATAATATATGCATACATACAATCATAATAAGAATGAAATTCCTGAATCTTAGGCTTTTAAACAGTTTCATATTAAAATTAATTATGAGATATTGAATCACTTTATTCCTTTGTTTAATTATTATTTAATTTTACGTATTTATCGAGTTAATTTATTTTAATTTTATATATTAGGCACAATGCAATGATACGCACTATCAAGATAATAAAGAATTATTTGATAAATTGGATTCTCAGCTACAAGTTTATGATTGTACTGGTAGTTGTCCACTACGTCCCCCTCATAATATTCCAGATAATAATGATGTTAAAAAAATATATTTATTTCTGTATAATAATATATACGATATAAGTACATATAATGAGAACCATTGCACTTGCTTAAATGTGTGGTTAAAAAAAAAACAAGCAGAATACAGAAAAAATCCTTTGACAAACAATTATATGCACCTATGGAATGATCTTATGAATAAATTATTCAAGGAATTGCATGAAGGAAGTGATAACTGTTTTGATGTTGAATGTTGCAATTGGAATCCAAATACATCTGAATTAATATTTTCATCAGAAGAACCAAGTCACTCAATCGAAGCATCAAGTTTTGTTTCAAATGATTTATTACAGAAAAATGCTCCTTCTTCATTTACATCATCAATAAAATATATTTTCTCTGTTTGTATTACAATGTTAATATCAACAATTTTTATATTTTTCCTTCTATATAATGTAATGTTAAAATAATTATAAAAGGTTGTGCTTTTTAAGAAATACTAGAATAAAAAATATAGAATCATTAAAGATTTTTATATATTTACATTAATTTTAATATATTTCTTACAATTAGTCAAGCAGGATAAAAGCATTTTTATGCAATAATAGTATATTAAAGTTTTTAATAAAGAAATACATGAAAAAGAATAATTCATATACAAATTATGAGAATTATTCACTAGATTCAACAACCAATAGAATAAACATACTGTTCCTGTCCAACAATAATTTTTAATTAAAATGCATCTTAATATTGAAGATATCATTTTATAATATTATAATTAAAATATTTATATCAGTAAGTGTGTATTATGAAGATAACATAAGAAGAAATTTAACAAGAACAAAATATATTTCAAATTATAATATGGGAGCAAATATACAGTGTATTCTAAAATGAACATAGAATAAATTATACCTATGCATATTATACAAATTATTTTAAAAACTAGTTTACCCCAATATTTATATTTCTTTGATTTTATTATAATATATTAATGTTATTTACAATATATATTAGGAATTTAGTTAAGTCAAATTTTTATATATAATATAAAATTATATTCATAATTATTTGATATTAATTGATATTATAAAACAATATAAACATTAACATATATATATGTTACACCTATGTTTACGCTATCTAATGTATATATAGATAATCTAAATCACATTTCACATCAAAACATTTTTTCACAAATTATTATTAGTCAATAAGTTTTGTTATGTGACATGCGTCTTATGTTTTAAGAACAATATAACGTATAAATATATTTATTTATACTTTGTCCATGTGAATTAATAAACTAACCAATTTGATAATTCTTGATTATATATATTATTTTAATTCTTCAAATATAATGAATTAATGAGAACAGAATTACATTAAGCACTTACAGGTTATTCAGTAAAGAAGTATGATTACATTAAAAAATAAAAGACCAAGAAAACATATTTTTAGAATTACACTTAAGCAAAAGATTTATGTTGCATAAATGTAAATGTATTTACTATGGTTCATTAATCATTTAATAATATACTTATAAATGTTTATAGTAATAATACTCCTAACAATTTATTTTTCTATGTCAGTGATATCTTTTATTGTATTCAATATATAAATTTTACATACTATTTTCAAGATTAAAATAAATATATGTGATATTTTTATTTTTTTTATTACAAAACGTTCAAAAAAAATTAATAAATATATAATAATCGGATTTATTAGCTAAAAATAATTTAATCTTATGTCAAGCGTACTGAAATATTTCATGGAATTAAATGTTATATTGTTATGGAATATAATATCGAAGAAGTTTGGTGCACCTATAAGAAAAATGTTGATAAATATAAAATCACATATACAAAATGTTATGAATATGATAAATGTTTATATATGTTCTTTGCATATTATAAGGACTGTAAAAGTAAAATATATATCTACATGTTTAATATTCTAAAAATTTTTAATCATGCATTAAACAAAGAATCATATTAACGATAAACTAGGCTGTATATAAATCAGCTATTAAATACATATACACACAATACAATGCAGTAATTCATGTTTTAAATTCAGATGATATATATAGATATAATCTATACATAATTTCATTGTGGGTGAATTCTTATTGTATATATTTTAAAATATTAAATTTTATATAAATTTATATAATTATATATTAATTATTACACATCTCATAATAAAGGAACGCAAAAATATATTGCCTTTAATTTTTCAATTATTTTCGGACATCATTAATTTACAATTATTGAATATTCTACAAATTAAAAAAGACAAATATAGAAAAAAATATATTGTATTACATTTAAAAAGAGTTTTTCATATATTTTTTACATAATACGAAAATTCTGAAAACTCATAGTATATTAGAAAATACGATGATATTATTACAATAATACCAAAATGAATAAATTTATATATAATTTGTAGAAAATATAATGTAATATATGTATATTAAATATATTTTTATATGTAAAGTATAATTATGTAAAATAATGAAATTCAATAGAAATATATAGTTTAACATTACACACGATAGCCTATCTCACATTACATTTATCATAATAATGAATAAATAATATAATTATCTCCTTACATTATATATATTAGTAAATTTTCGAATTATTGCTACTATAAATAAAATAGCAGTTTGAACACCATTTTCCTTATTATATTATATTTTTCTATATCACTATTTTACTTTAATATGAAAGCATAAATTGAAAAAATATAATATTTATTTGTATATGTTAGCTCTATATTATAATAAAATATTTTTATTTTTTATTGAGTGGCTATAATGAAAATTTTATAATAGAATTAAATATTATAAAATAGAACTGTATAATATATTGTATTCCTTGTGGCATTGTATATTACCAATGGATATAACGTGTGTTATAAAAATTAATATATATTTATTACAAGTATTTTACTTAAATATAAATCATAAGATAATTTGTGTTGTAAAAAAATAATTATATTTATTAAAAATAATTAATAAAAAAACCCTTAATTATATAATATTACATGAATTTTATAATCTTCACATAAATAAAATATATTATGATATTTATAGAAATATAAAGAAATTTATATGTTTTAGTAAAATTTTCATGTAACATAATTAGCATTTATATGTATAACAAGTGGTTCTGATTTTATATTTTGATGTAGTGTAAAAAAAAACCTATTAAAACATTGATATGTATAATTTATGGTAAATATAGTAAGAATAATTATTTTTATTTGATTATTTTTTATTCGGAGTGCTAGATAATATTGTTAAGTGTATTATATTTAAAATTTCATATGCTTAAATGATAATGTTTTTTAAATAAATTTACATGAAAAAATTTTCTTTTTGAACAAAAAAAAAACATAAAATCAAGGATTAATGTTATTACAAATAATTTCTTGAACCATTGCATCCAAAAAAAAAGTTGTAAATTTATAGAAATGAAATGTATATAAATTATGGGATATTATGTTAAGTATTCATAAATTTATTTATTAAAAAAAGTGTACTATGAAAACACGAATAGTGTAATATCCATAATAGTAATGATATAATATATAATATTTATTTATATGTGATATATATATATAAAATAAGCTCTCTTACATTTTCTAAATATACTTTTTTCATTAAAAATATTTATTCTTAATCTCTATGGTAATATAGATATATTTATATATATTATTATGAAGAATGATTTAGATTGTATCTTCTACTGCTATTAAATGTTATATAATGCTAAATATTTTTTGTTTTATGTAAATGTATTAAAATATTATATGATAATTCATTTTAATAAACATTTACGTATATTAATCCATAAATAATGTGATTACTAAGGATGAAATCATGGATTCTATTTATTCTAGTATTATATATTTTTTATTTTTCATACAGATAAGGGATATATATCAAAGAATTAAAAATTAAAGAAGAAATTTTTTATATATTAAAACTAACAATGCATATTAGTATTAAATATATATTTTATTTTACGTATTTATTATGTTACTTAAATTATTTAATTTTTTTATAATTATGAATCTTTAATAATATATTTTATTAACAGTTATCACATTTTCTTTTTCATTTTTTAATATCATTCACAATGTTGCCATAGTGACACAATATTATTAAGAACACACTTAATTTTTAAATAAAATTGCACTTCTTTATTATATATTGTATAAAATTTTATTTGTATGTATATCAGCCATGATTATATATGAATTTAGGAATTATAAAAATTTTAAATGCTCTCTTCTTCATATTATGTGTCTTAATTGTAAAAATTCAATATTAATTTGTTCATAAATTACAATACGTCTTATATTTCTCTTGTAATGTGATATTACCACATCAATATGAGTAAAAGTATTGTACGTTTGTATTTTAAGAAAAAAAAATTAAATGTTTTAATATATCAATATTATATTTTCCATAAATATTTTAATATATTGCTCATTACAATATAATTTTTCGTAATATAATTATTATTTTCTTTTCTTAGTATAACTATATATATTTATTTTCTAATTGTGAGAATACTAAAAAATCTATTAATTCTGCTGAAGAAGAATTGTTCAATTTAGACTGTTTACAAGCCACTGATATATCAGAAGATATAAGTTCCGAATTTAGTGCAATATGTAAAAATGTTATGTCATATTTTAATAAGATGGATGCTAAAAAAAATGATGATGAAAAAATTCATGATGGTACCTGTGTATACTTGCATTATTGGTTATATTATGATTATCTTAAGGAAAAATCTAATCCTAATAACTATGCAAAAATCCTTTGTGATGCATTGATCAATCTGAATAATAATAGATCTGACCCCATATGCCAGAATTATGGGGATTTTTATATAACACAAGATGTGTTAAAAAAAATGAAGGATCTACATGATATGGATACTAATGTTAATATGTTACAGACTGCATGCACCAAACAAGAAACATGTGATATTGCTAATAAATTTGTTTCATTATATAAGGGATACAAATTTGAATGCGAATCCCTCCTTGACGCACATTTTTGTAAAATATTAGA